TTCAGTCGCTCCAGAGCCTGGATGGGGAGGCTAGCTCAGGACCCTCCTGCTGGAACACCCTCCAGTGGCTTCCAGCGCACTAGAGTGCACTTCAGACTCCTTGCTGTGGTCTATAAGAGTCAACGGAATCTTCCCTTTGCCTACCTCTCTAGTCTGTCCTATTACTTCCCCCTTTGGGGGCTTGTTTTCTTTCCTCCTGGGGCTTCAGGGTCATCCCAGTCTCAGGGTCTTTGCACACCTCTCCCGTGTACACTCTTATACCATTAAATGAGATCAGCTCATGTTTGGCTTTTTCTCATTATTTAAGTCTTCCTCTCTCAGAGAGATCTTCCTATTCCATCCTACATCCTATATATCCATCCTAAAAACCTTCTCTCTCCCTCCTTCTCTCTCTCTCTTTCTAATACTTTATTCTGCTTTATTTTCTTCATAGAAGGGATTGGTATTGGTATTGTATTTATTTGTTCATTTTTACTGCTTCTCTTTTGGGCACTTAAAAGCCACTTAAAACATATTACTTAGTGGCTTAAATCATTTATCAGTTTATTTATCAATCAAACATTTTACTGATACTTTGTCCATAAGGGGCATTATGATTGAAGGCTATTAATGGAGGTCACCTTCAACAGGTAAAGAGGGAAGGGAGCTTGTTAGGACCACTGAAGGCAGAGAGACCCAAATTCGTGGGTAAGATTTAGCTAGAAATGAGAGCCGGAGGAGAATTCAGCGGCAAAATGGAGAGAGGGACAAGTAAAGATACTGAAGAGGGTGACCCAGGCTGTGCCACTAGAAAGCAGTGCTGAACGAGCCAATCCAGTAAACATGGCGACCAGAGATCATGCAGACATCCTAGACCATGGGGCTCAGAAGGCCCAGGGAGGCAGTGGGGGAACGCATAGTCTGGAGCAGAAGATAAAATTGACAAAAGCATTATATCGAAGCTTCAGAGTGTGTAGAACCACTAGCAAGATGATTTTAAGTAGTATAGAGATAGATTTTTTTTAAAGAAATTATTAGTTGAGTATTTGCTAGTGTATGCCAGAATACCTTAACATATCAAATTATAATTTTATGATATTATGACTTAGAAGCCTGTTAAATTTTTTTAAAAGCGTCAATTTAACAAAAAAAAATTGGAGTGTATAATTTTACAGTTAATACGCAATGGTACCCAAAAATATTCATGAAGGAGGCAAATAAAAATGAGTTTAGAATAGGAGGTTAAAGAAAATGAAATATATTTTGCCTCCCACACCATTTTCCTGAAATGTGTCCCTATCCCGACATACAATGAATTCAAGTCCTGGACCCCAAGCTGTATTTCCTTCTTCCTGTAACCTGCCATCCAAATTCTAACACTTTCCTATCCCTAATGACTTAAGCTTGGCACAAAGGAAAGAGCCTTGGACTTGTAAGTATGAACCTTGGCTCTGCCACTTACTAGATGCATAACTTACAGGAAGATCCTGAACTTCTGTGATCGCCGCCCCCGTGAGGGCTAAATATGTGCCTGTTGAGTCTGACCTTAGTCCACTCTCTCGCAGCCACACTCTCTGACCCGTCACTCTCTGACCTGTTACCATTCCATTCCTTCTGCTTTCCACTGCCTCCTCCCCAGGTTTTCTCAAACTCCAATGTCTGTTAGAATTACCTAGGATCCTAGGGAAAATGAAGCTTCCTGGGGCCATACACAGAAATGCTGATTCCTTAGGTCTGTGGTGGGGTCTGATAATCTGCATTCTAGTGAGCACCCACCCTTGAGTTTCTGAAGCAGGGGTGACATTGGGAAATGCTCCTCAGCTCACAGTATCAGCATGAGAGCTACAACAGGAGGCACATAGTCATTAAGTTATTATTAACTGTGGTTAAGTCATCACTGAATCAGTGGCCCTTCCCTTCCCATCCTCACTGTCTCCTAACTCTCTATTCCTACCTTCTTATTGTCCCACTTTCTTTCTTCTTTCCATGGTGGTTTAGTCCATCCACACATCTTTGCCTCCCTAGCTCATCTATCACGTCTTCAAGCTTGCAGCTGTCTTGGCCCTTCCCTCCAGATCAATAAATAGACCCACAAGAGAAAGAAAAGTCATTATATCAAAAAAGACACATCACAAACTACACAGTCCACATCTGACCTTGGATGGAGAAATAGCAGACAGCCTTGAACCCAAGAGCTCCAGTCTATAGTTTCTATGTTTCCAGAGTCTGGAGCAAATCTGACTAACCCCGTATAATTGCTCAGCTGCCTCTCGCAGCTGCCTCAAAGTCTGTGTATAGATAATGAGTGATGCACTGCTCAAAACCCTAATAAGGTTAATATCTACTTCTAGGGGGAAACGTAAGGAGAGAAAAGCAGAGAAGAGCCATAATTACGAGCTTAGAGGGTGGTCCTCTTTTCTTTCCTCACAACATAATCTAAAACTGATTAGGGAATCCTTGGCAAGTGCAGGCTAAGATGCTGGGTTTTGAACAGTGCTATCAAAACATAAAGACAGAGATAGCCTTCTCTTCCACACCACCACCCCCTATTTGTTGAAGCTTGTTCTCCTCCCCCAATTCCTCCCAGAAGATCTGAGCACAAGCTCTTTTATGCACATGCATCCTGCTGAGGGCTGCAGAGTCACATAACAGCCCAGGAAAACAACACCCAGTACACAATATGCACATTGTTTTGATTGCGACATTGCTGTTTGAAATGCATTTATTTCTGCATCTCGTAAATACTCCTCCACAGCAGAAGAAAAAATAACAAATGCATTGTAAATAGAGGCCCAAACATCTTACACTTAAATTACAGTCACGTTATCCCAGTCCCATCCGATCTTTCAATTACAGTCATTAATTGAGGATGTAACCCAGAAACAATTACATCCATGAAATTCTAATGAGTCTCCTGTAGTTAATATAAAAAGAAAACAATGGGAAATGCATGCTGATGCTGGAGTCTAATCCAATTCTGTCGATTAAAATAAAGAACAGCATTTTTGTAACATGTAAATCTGATTCTTTTTCCTCTACCCAGTTTCATTTCTCAGGGAGTGACAGACTCTCTGCATAGATTTGCTTATTTAATAAGTTTATCGAGCAGCCCTCTCAATTATGTCCCGAGTACATCTTGAAAACTCACCAGCGGGGAATATACTTTGCTCAGGATCCATCTTTTAGAGAAGCTCATCTTTCCATGTGAAAAGTCCATTCTTTATTTACCTGACTTATGTGAGACGATCCTTCAAACCTTCACTATGACAAAAATGATTATATTAATTATGATTGTGGGAGAGCATGGTGGCAGCTTAATTCTGAATCTTTCTGCTTCTCCTGGAAGTAGAGCAACAAGATGCTGAAAAGGAAAAGAACAACAACAACAAAAAAATCACAAGCTCCATTTTCATGTGAAATAGGAGACAAAGAAAGCCCACAGACTTCAAATTATGTGTACATGCTGCCAGAAGCAACTGAGACCAGCAGGGCCAGGCAGGAAGGCCCCAGAGCAGCCATGACATGGGGCTGGGAAGACTGGAGAGTGTTGACTCTGCAGAGGCCAGTCCCGGAAACCCACAGCAAAATACGTACCTACTCTCGAAAAGGTCAGGGTCCCAAACTGTAGGCCAGTGCTTCAAACAGCATTGAAAGACATTTGGGCACGAGCACTGGGGACAGAAGGAAGACTTAAAATTGCCCAGGGATGAGCGCAGAGGAGAGTAGACTTAGAAAATGTCAATAAAAATCCACTTTCTAAAAGTGAGTGGATCACAGAGGACAAGACCTGTGTCCCTCGGTAGCAGCAGCCAACAGAGTAAGCAGTGGAGACACAGGGCTGGAGGAGGAAGTGCTCCAGAGCCACATTAGATTCGAGGCAAAGGAAGGGTGCTGACATAGAAGTACCACGCTATAAAGAAAGGTTTTTGAGACTAGGGCTGATTTTCAACATAAACTCACTGCTGATTTTTTTTTTATTTTAAGAGTTGTAATGGTTGGCTAAGATGTCTGTTCTAAATTGGTCAGTTTCTATATCACACCAGTGTTCCTATCATTCTAGCTGGGGTTGTGAATCTGGGAAACCATTCCTGCTCTCACCCCACTCCATCTCATGCTGGAACATTCTGGGACATTTTGCTGTCATTTATATATGAAAACCAAAGACAAAAATAAGAAAATAGTGTAAGAAAAGACGTGAAAAATTATAATTTTCCAATACGAAGGAACACTTACTAAAATACTTTATACTATATAGCAGATAAAAATCATAATTGAATATTCCAATAAGAATTTTTTAAGTAACAGTGAATTATTTGTAACCAGGAAGAAAGATTACAAAGTAGAAATACAAATGCTCTGGAATAACATAGTCAAACTGTTAAAGGTAATGCCTAGAAAACCTGAAAAGGTAAAAAAGGAATTGACAGAATTCAGGAAAAGAAAATTATTTCAAAATGAAAAAAAAATGATGGCATGGAGACTTTTGTAAAGGTTCTGACAAATAGAAGTAAGGAAAACAAACAAACAAGGAAATGGAAACAAATAAATCTTCAATGATGGATACAGAAGACAAGTAAAGGAAATTTCATACGTGCATAATTGAAGTTCTAAGGAAGGAAAACACTGGGAGAGAATTAATACTGTAAAACATAATTTAAAAAAATTGTTTGAACTAAAAGATGTGAATCTGTATATTGACTGTGTTCCAAGACAAATTGGCCCCAAGACATATCCTAATAAAATTATTGGGCTTTAAAGATAAAGAAAAAATTCATTGGATGGACAAAAACATTAATACTCTTATAAAGGAAAAAAATAAGGCTTGTATCAACCATGGGCTGAATGTTTGCAACCCCCTGAAAATTCATATGCTAAATCCCAGTGCCAAATATGATGCTATTAGGAGGAGGGACCTCTGGGATGGGCAGAGCCCTCACAAATAGAATCAGTGCCCTTATGAAAGCAAGTCTGGAGAGATTCCTAGCCCATTCCTCACGTGAGGACACAACAAGGAAGTCTCCAACCCAGACGAGGACCCTCCCCCAGCCATGCTGGCTCCTTTCCAGTCTTCAGAACTGTGAAGAACAGATGTTTCTGTTGTTTTTAAGCTGCTAGAAAGAAAGAAAGAAAGAAAGAAAGAAAGAAAGAGAAAGAAAGAAAGAGAAAGAAAGAAGGGAAGAAAGAGGGAAAGAAAGAGGGAAAGGGAAGAGAAGGAAAGGAAGGAAGGAAAGAGGGAGGGAGGAAGGAAGGAAGGAAGGAAGGGGAAGGAAGGGAGGGAGGGAGGG